AACACACGGCAGGACAAGACTCGAGAGGTACGGTCAAAATTATGGTGTGCGGCTGTTGCATCCTCAGATTTGTGAGCCACCTATCGTTTTCCCTTTTTGAAACGCGTTAGAGGATTATATAAAGGGTATCGTTCTTTTGTGAGCCCCTATCATTCGCCAGGGTTTGGAGCATGCCCGCATATGAATGCAACGCTCCTATGCAATCTATCTTTTGTCAAGAGAGAGAGAGAGAGAGAGAAAACTTTAGCCAGCCCTGGCTGCATTCACTTTGGCAGCGGCATGACGTGTATTTCCGAAGTGCACCAGTGAGTGGCTCAGGACAACACAGGGAAAGGTGAGGTTGCGATCGACAAGGGGCCTAAGCCCAAGCCAAAGCAGCGCATGCTTTGCACGCAAGCTGTTTGTTCTGAGTTCTACTTAACAGAACTACGCTCAAGCGAAAATGGCCTCACAACATAACATAACAACAACTTTGATGACATACGAACAGCAAATGCACCCTAATTTTAGTCATTAGCAATGCGCTATCGATTTCCAGAATTTCAGGGTGGGTGGGCGCTTGGTCGAAGCTGTCATCTTCGTCGGAGAGCTCTGGCTTGAAAGCCAGCTTTCCAGCTATCATCCCAGCAAGTGGCTAGTTGATTGTTGCGTCCAAATGCTCAAGTCAGTCCTTGCCAGCCAGAAACTGCATTGTTTCCACCAGTGCACTGGCAGTGTCATCATCATGCTGATAGATCACCTCACCTCTTCAGCGGAGACATTAGTCAAAAAGAACCTCTGCAATGTCGTCTGTACAGTAAATGCTGGTTGATCGGCTTGGTTGGGCATGTGCAAGCAGAGGGCAGCACAGCCGATGACAACATTGCTTCCGCTCGGCCTAAACCAAGACATGGCACACGGCAGTAGCGCTAGCACAATGACGCTACAAGGAATTGAAACGATCTTTTTGCAAAAAAACATCAGCCACTGGCACGGTTGTCTTTGCTGCCTGCGGTCAACTGCAAGGGCCGAATGTGTTCAACTGCCGCTCAGATCTCTCAGCCTCAGATATCTCAGCCTCAGATCTCTCAGATCTAGTAGCGATGCACTTGTTACTTGTAGCTTCTTGTTCTATATAGCTTCATTTTCTCCCGCACCTCTTTGCCCCATTTCAGTTCCGCCACTTTGACATGTTTCGCTCCGCCTGCATGGTCTGAGAAATGTAAAAAGATGTGAAACAGCAGGGGGGGGGCTTGTTCAAGGTGCCCTACCTTCTTTTTCTCTTAGAACCCCCCTTCCACACAGGACCACCGTCGGACCAGCTCGCCTAAGGCCTCTGAATTCAAGTCCACGTTCCGTTGGAGGAGTGGCAGCCCTTGAGACAGGTCAGTGAGTACCTAGAATCGAAGTCAAAAACAATCGTTTATTCTTGTCATATGTTTGTGCGTGTGTGTCTTGATGCATGTAGTTCTGTGAGTTTATTGCGCATCCATCCTGCTGCATAAGCTCCGAAGGGTACCACTTCAGAAGCTCCCAAGGCAGCACAAACTAAGCCAACCAGGCCAGTGCCCGCGCCTGGGAAGCAGCACATTTACACGTACTGTCAAAAGGCCTTCTTCCAAGAATAGCGATCAAAGACATACTTAAAAAGTTCCTTAATTGTTACTAGTAGTGATGGCTTCCAACCTTATAGCAATGGCCTCCACCTAGTAGCTTCTAGTTACTAAAGAGCTTCTTGTTACTATCTATTATAAACCTGTGAGAAGCGGATTTTCTGGCAAGTTGTGAGTTTGGTGACAGCCTTGATTCACTGATTCTAAATACTTGCCTGCTTCCAGAGAGGCTGACATACAAAGTCTCAGTACTATGGGTTCAGCTCAGGCACCCCTTTGCGAATTGAAATGCAAAGGCCTCCCAAATGGAATTCTTAACTGCCTACCGCTGCTACGCCCTCCTACGCTTCTTCGCGAACTGCTCTGTCTGATGCACCTAGCTCAACAACACGCTTGCCACGCACGAGGTGTGGCTTGCCCTGAGCCCAAGCCAACTCAGGAGTGAAAATGCCAAATGCCCGACAGCTTGAAGCAGTATATAAGTTGAGGCAGTGGCACAAAGGTAGGCACATGTTGAATACGCCGATGGCCTGGAGGAACGACATTCTCTTTCGGGCCCATCCCTGGACAGTCTGAGTCTTCAGCCAAACTACGCATCCAGTTGAGTCTTCACCCTAAGAGATGTATATAAAAAAATCCTACAAATCAAACTGCATGGACTGATGTCGCCCCTTTCAACTTTTGACCGCCCCAATCACATGCAGAACAAAACGTTTGGCCCCGCGGCTAAACGTTGCTTCTTCACCTGCATGCACACGGACTCTTCATCCTTACGGATAAAGATCTCTTGAGCCATGAAACCTACAATGCCAGGCAAATCAACTGGTCAAGCCACCGTGCCTCTTGCTCAACAGTGATGCCCACTACCTAGCTGGTTTGTGCACGAACCCCTAGCAACTCAAAACAACCAAGACCCAGGCAAGGCTGTCATGCTGGAAAAACACAAACTCTTCACCTTCAATCAGTAGCTGGAGGCTGCTAGTGACGGCTGGTGGCACCAAGGTACATGTATATATCCGCAAACAATCTAAGTAACTGGCTGCGGAGTGGGCCACTGTAAAGCAGCTTGTCCTCGTGGGTCAGAAGTCCAAAAAGGACATTGCAATGCTTCGAGCTCCGACCAACTCTCGTCTGGTGAGCCTCAGTTTTGCTGCCATGGTTTGCTTGCAACTGGAAACTCGTGAGGCCAACTCGAGGGGCGGTCTTGGTGCCAAACTCTGGGTCTCCAAGGCAGCTTGAGACGGAATCATCCCAGCTCCTTCCCGTTGCAAGACTTGTCTGACGGTCCTGGCACAAATGGCAGTCCTGCTCAGTAGCGAGATCAGCCGCATCTCTTTTTCAGCCTGGCCCAGGAGCATCATGAAAACATAAAACCCTCCATAACTTCATCACGACACCTGAAGAATCCGCTGCACCAACTTCAATTGGAGCTCCCGCGCAATCCTTCTCAGAAGCAAGACCTCATACAGCTGTTCTCAAACAAAAACGCCGATTCATGCATAGCCTTGAGAGAGGAGAGAGAGAACGAAAGAGAGCGCGCAAGCTGCAAAGCCCTGCAAAAACAAAAAGCCTTGACCCAAGGCCCACGACTTGCGCAGCAGTTGCAAAGCTGATGGAGACGAGGATCCTGCTACAGGAAGCTGTTGAATTCAACCCATACTGACTAATTGCATCTAATTGCAGCTTTGAGCCTCTGTGATCTCAACCCATAAGGCCGGCACCCATCCGGCTTCAGGAAAGAGCAAGCGCCCCGAAGCATCCTGGCCTCTGCGCAAAGATGATGCCGAGGAAATTTGCGCAATTGTCATCTGAAACGATCTGAAAGCTGCTGAGCCAAGAACATGTGACAAAAAGCTTATAAAGGACATCACAGGACAAGGAATCAATATTTATATCAGGATCTTGCAGTGGATCAACACATGCCCCGGTTTCAAAGGCCTTTTCTGGCGCATCATGGACAGCATCCACAGTACCCTTGCACCAAGCTCACGCTAGACAATCATGACATGCAGGCATGGTGCTGATGCAATGTGGCTTTCTGATACAGCGCGGTGCACCTTGTCCACAACAACGGCCATCTTGCCCTCCAATCTTGCAAATTCCTTTCGGAAAGAGTCACAGCCTGCGTTTGCACATTCTGCCCGCACCGCGCCTCATTCTGTGCGCGACAATCCCCCAGGATGCAAGTGACCTACAGTACAGGCATGACCAGGTCACCAAGCCTGCTCTGGGACCGCCAAAAAGGATAGTAGATTTATAGTGTTCAATCCGAGTAAACTTACGGAAACTTGGATACCAAGCCCTCGGGTCATCGGCGTGTAAATCCTCAGGTCGCGTGGCTGTGCACATGCTCAAAGGCGTTGGAGATCGCCCGGAGTCCTTCAGCTTGGCAATCAGCACCTCGGACACATCCTTGGCAACCCCAAGTGTTCCAGTTCATTCTGCAACAGTGTCCTTCACTGAAATTATTGTACCCATCTGGGTCACCACTCGACGAAACGAATAACATTCTGAGACCAAGGCCACTAAAGTCACTGAAGCCTGGCAGAAACTACTAGGTGGAGGCCATCGCTACAAGTAGCAAGAAGCTGCTAAGAAGTTACTAATAGCTCCTGGCATTACTACTTGCTCACCCTACCAGCTGCGCCTGTGGAAAGTCTTCTCGAAGCTGCAGGCCTGGGATATCATTCAGGCACAAGGGTGCAGCTGCGACAAAAAGCCGGGAATGACGAAATAGCTCAATAAAGAATAAATAAATAAATGGCGGATAGATATATTTGTGAAATTCATTTAAGTGCATACATTGGCAGTTGTAGTCGTAGCCTTCGATCTTCACAAGTCAACTTGCAGTGCTCACCCGTGCTCACCTGTGATGGTTCTTTTCAGTGGCTCATGCAACTGAAACGAGCTTCTTGACCAAATTCTATGGTGTCATCCCCTCCAATGATGAGGAATCGCCGTGAGACGGTGAAACTAGGCCGGAGATGGCAATCTCTGGCAGAAAAGCAGAAAACTGCACAAAAAGCAAGGCATCAACTGGAAAATAGAGCCACCGCATGCTACAGTGCAGCTTAGCTTTGTACAGCCACTGCACGGGACCAAACATGTGGGTTCCAGTTTCAACAGTCCGAAGCTTTGCTGAGTATTGCGTGCGGAGTGACTAGTAGCGTCCTTGCTCCTAGTAGTAAGGCCAGGAGCCCCTAGTAGCGTCCGTGCTCCTAGTAGCGATGCCAGGGGCCCCTAGTAGCTACATTGATTCTGAATTCTACATTTGCTCTCTATGGCTCAACGAGGTGACTTTAAGTATGCATGGTTGTGTGAATGCAAACCATATACCTGCAAGGCCTGCATGGTGACTTTCAAGGCACCCGGAGTTTTATTGCTATAAGGAGAACATGTGCTTCAAGAAAGGGATGGATGCACGCAACTTCCCAGTCTTGCTTGTGATACGCAAGGACCCCGCAAGGGTTATAACTTAATTCTTGAAGCAGCCGTTGCTTAATTAAACGCCGTCGGCAGCGTCTGCATACCTTACTATAGCCATAAGGCCAGAAACATTCTTCACTGACATACTCTCATCTCGGGACATGCATGAAGCCTGAAAAAACAATTCGCATCTTCCACGATCATCCTCGCCAAGGCTCCGTTGACCTAATACTGAGGGTTGAGGCTTCAGCATGCCGCCTCTTGTTCGCCAACCTTGCTCAACCTGTGCCAAGCGGCATTGCAAGCTCTAAGAGCATCACGCACATGTATACTTAGTATCGCATAAGCCACCATTAGGGCATTGCTCTCGCCTGAGGTGCCCTTTCCAAGCGCGAAGTTCTTTGAGCCTCTGTCAGTGCTTCACCTGAAGTCAAACATCTATGATATGGAACAAAATTGGTGCCTTGTGGGTGAAACCTGAACCCGTTGCCGAGATGACCGCAGCAGTGGGGTACATTCGCATCAATTGAACCAATGATGTCTGCCATTAGGTTCAAAAGGCAGAAAATATGCCAGCAACCAGCAATCTCGACAAAGCTGGACGCCCTAAGGTGAACCATCTTTGTATGAGGATGAGGTGGGGATGAGATCAATTCCGGCAAACTGGCAAAAGTGTGCTGCACTGTTCATGTGTAGTTTTGCGCGCTCTGAAAATTATGGCATTTTGAGGGCATTGCTTGCACTTGCAATTCGTGTGATCACTGGTGCATATACTGTGATAAGCTGATAAGTTGTAAGCAACATGCTTACACAGTTTACATAGGCTCTCTGCTGCGTGGTATAGCTCCAGGTGAGAGGAGCAAAAAGAGCTCAAAGCGAAACGTATCGTATACTGTATATACTGTAAATATATACATATACACTTACAACACATATATACATATGTACGTATACCCATGCACATACATATCCGATATGACATAAACGGGGTAACATGTGATGCGCGGCTGGTACAAGCAGTGAAGCATGTAGCCTGATTTAGCTTGTAGTCTACCGTTCTCTCACTTTTCCAAATTCAAGGTTCAATATGACTGGTTTGTCAACAACGAGCATTGGCAGGGGGAGTCACCTTGGCTCTGCCAAGTCTATGACTTCAACCTAGAGCAACAATATAGGGTGGTTCAACCTTGGCGGTCAGATTTCGACCTACAAAAAATGATTGATAGAGTAAACAAATAGTAATATGCATATATCGTAAGTAGCGTCAGTACTATCCTGCTACATGTCTTTACTTCTCGCCTGCGCTCCTGCCAGAAGCTGAGAAAAGAAGCTCTTGGCTGCTTGCAGCTGGTGTTCCTCGAATGGGCTAGGACGTGCCGGTTTACCAAAAAAGATGCGTCAGCTGATGTTGCCAACAACAAGTCTCCCTAGGGCTACCATGAAACTGAAGCTACGCCTGGAAATGCTCAAGCTTCAATTGTGTGCCCTTCCTTCACTTTTGTGTTTATCACACAGGTTGCCGCTAGTCCAAAGGTCTGGAGGTGCCTCTGCATTTATTGGAAATGTGAAGCGCTCAGACTTCTGCCGTTGAAGGGACGCCGTACGCATCGCATCCTTTGTCACACCACTTTTTATCAAGCAGCCTTTGTATCTTGCCCATGCTTGGCCTGGGCACTTGTCAAATTAAGTGTCAATTAAGGAGAACCCCTCATGCAGCTCGCACCAGGTTCACATTTGGCTTTGGGGCTTCGTTTTGGCTTCGTTTTGAGACACCACATTTCTTGCACTCCAAGAGAATACACATGCAAACATCCCACCAAGAGGCTTCGTTTGTGCTTTTTTTGGCAGGAATGTGCAAGATTCTGCAGGATCTCACCAAACATGATCAATTTTAAATAAAAGCTTAACGCTATGATTTTGAGGCTGGCTCACCTCCTCGCGCCGGTCCAGGAGCTGCAAAGGCAGGGTCCTCTACTACACAAACCCAAAGCATCACGACGCATCTGCGTTGTCTTCAACAAAATCCAAACCTAAGTTTCAATCTTCAAAGGTCGTGTTTACAAGAATGTCTATCCCCGCCTGGAGCCGCACGCTCTTTGTCTTGGTGCTCTTTGTCTCCTTCTCACTTGTAGAAGGAAATGACATCAAATCGCCAGTGCTATTGGTTTCAAACAGCTTTGTCAGCAAGTGTACTCCAGCCCAAGGTAACCAACCATGTTACATCACCATCTGCATGGTTAGGGGAACACTTCTGGCCCTTGTCAAAGGTGAAAACTAGCATGTTGCACAGATCATGAGGCAGCACAGTGAGCAGCCAATTAGCCGTGGTGGAGGGGGCACTCTCTTGCAAACACCCGTCACTCACCGGCTGGCCGATCGGCCTCCGAAGGCACAGAGTCTGCTCGAGATGCACGTAATTTGGCTTGCAAAACTTCCTTGGCCGTCTCAGGCACAGAGACGCTACTAGGGGCTCCTGGCCTTACTACTAGGAGCAAGAAGCCAGTAGTAACAAGTGCATCGCTTCTAGTAACAAGTGCCTTACTAGTAGTAACAAGAAGCTACTAGGGGCTCCTGGCCTTACTACTAGGAGCAAGGACGCTATTAGGGGCTCCTGGCATCGCTACTAGTATCAAGGACGCTCAGGAAACAAAGAGACGGCAAAACTATGAAAGAGCCCCTCGAAGGGAAGCAGCGACCAAACGAAGGCCAAGCTATCCAAACTTCCATGGACAAGCATCCAACGATTTTGTGGCGCGTTGCCGCGCATCCTCCAGTTTAACATCATTCAGCGCAATTTCTCGAGAACTCGGCCTCCAACTGTAGTCTGGAAGGCCAGGCAATCAAGCTGCAAAGACAGCTGATCAAAACACTGACAGCTGATGCATAAGTCCGGATAGGAGTTCACAAATTCAGTTTGACTTCACTGGGTTGCGGGCCGTGGGATTCCTGACGCGCAAAGTGCGGCCTGCAGGGTTCAAATCCGAGCCTTCTGTCGAAACTTACAGCATTGTTCCCACACTGACGGTGAGCAAAGGCAAGCCCTGGCTAGAAACCTAAAACAAGCCACACATTCTGTTATCTCTCCACCAGCCTCCCGCAATGCTTCGGGGCTGCCTGCCGAACTGGGGAGCGATCCACTTCTGGACAGCCGGCTCCTGAATCAAGCTCAAACACAAAGGACCTCCAGCATCAAGGATATGATGCATATCATATAATTGTGGTCTGGTAGTGGGGGTGGTGTTGATGGTGGCAGCGTGCGCACTCACTCAAAGCCGATTATATGCTGCCTGTGACTTGTGGTGGTCCATGTGATTGACATGCGCTGACTATTGTATTGATTGATATTTTTCCAAGCATGGACCTGACGGAGAAGCCAGCAAACAAAGGACCTGGATTAGTGGTGTTGTAAATGGGGTCTTGTGGACCTCATCAAGAACCAACACCTGAGATCAAAAATCCGCCTGTGAAACTGAAAGAGCACGAGTTTGAGGTTGTGTTGGCTGTCGTTTGTCAGTTCCGACACTGCGAACCATTCCGTTTGAATCCAAACGTTTGTGCACATATCTATGCGTAAGACAATGCGCTCCAAGCATGGAATCCTTTGAAACCAAAACACCTGCATAGTGAGACCAACAAGCATGTGCCATATAAATGTGTTTCACAACCCACAGTCTAGCAGTGCCTTCTGGAGGCTGTTGACCTTTTTGAGCCGGGTGTGGTCGAAGGCGTAAAGCCACTCATCTGTGAGGTAGAACTCGTAGGCCGGACGGAGTACCCTGAGGCCGCATCCTGGTGCTTTCCTGAAGCATGCTACTGCCCCACATGACCCGTCCAGTATACACAATAAATGCATACCAAAATATATGTGTGTCTGTGTGTGTGTTCATTAGATCTCTATGCATGCCACAAGAAGAACTACAAAAAAACATCGACAGCCAAGCATGAATAGTGCAAGCCTTGCATGTCCACAGATTGAACATAGGGAGGGCAAAGGCGGAAGTCTTGCAATCCCAGAAGCCCGTTGAGGCAAAAGTAGATGCGGTAGATTGACTTGAATATGGCCGTGCTTCCCATGCCTCACGTGGTCGCAAGAAGGAGAGGAACCACCGTTTGTCTCCATCAAACCTGGCCTCGGTGGGCTGCTTTCGCGAGTGGGATGGTGGCTCATCATCTTCGTTCTCCTCATCCTGAGTGCAAGTTTTCAAACTGACTCTTAGGACTTTGGACTCGCCAATGCTATCCATGACCATCCAAGACCAAAAACCGCTGCGAATTCACAACACGTTTGATGTAAACCAAGGGCCTCTGTCTCTGAAACCTCAGCATGCGGGTATGGATGCAAGCAGTCTTGCAAGTCCACCACTCCTTCTCACTCAATTATGTATCAATATTCGCCAATGATACCTATTAAAAAATATTCGATGGCACCGTAACCTAAAGTTCCTAAAGCTTAGAAAAAGTGGTTTTACCTTGCTCTTCTTCCTGCCCGGTAAGCCAGAAGCTGTGCGAGTAAACTTCTCGGGGGAGTTCGGTCAAAGCTTCTTTACTTTCCAGATGTACTTGCCATATTCCAGCTTTTGTCGTCTCCGTACTTGTCATGCACTAGCGCGAATACAGTTTGAAGACAGGCTGCTTCCCATGTAAAGAACAAACATGAACAAACCAAGCCGAACGTAGCACAGCCTTCTGCAAAACATTGGGCATCCTTTGAACTGGGACAAGATGCGCAAGGTTCAAACAAACAGCTCAAAACGCTAAAAGCCTACTAAAATAGCAGAACCAATTCAGGTGAGTAGCTCCCGACCACGCAAGCCTCGGAACATCAGGATTGAGCAAGGCCCAATGCTGATGACAACGGCAAACAATGGCTGGGGAACGAGATGAACAATTCAAACCATTCTGCTAATCCTGCGTCCTGCCTCATTGAACCCACAGTCCAATGGCTACAGTAGGCTGTCTGAAGTGCATGCTGACTATGCATTGTTTGGTGGACATTTCTCTGACGTAGGTCGGCTGCGGAAGGCATCTCCTTGCAGGTCGGGCCTGAAAGGGTCTTCTGATGGAAGTGTATCCATGGAGTTGAAATCCAGGCCTCCCTCTCTGGCTGCAGTGCATCATGACATTGTTGAATAGCTCCAGCATTTCCTGAGAAAATGCGAGATGAGCACCAAAGCAAGAGATAAGGAAATGCTCCTGTACGATTTAGGGCCCGGCCACGAGCCCCAATGCCCTTTGGGGATGAGGACGGCTGCGCGCCCATTCGTCGCAGCAAGTGGCGCCTAGCATTCTTGGATGCAGTTGGCAAACTGTTCAACTGTTCTATATGAGCTCAAAACTTACGGAACTTGGTTTATCACAGCTGGTACCAGTAAGTCCTTGTTTCTTTTTGCCAAGTGGCTGTCACTTCTAGAAACGATCTTGACGCACCAAAGGTGAGCCAAATGCAATTTGAGCCCAAATGTTTGAGCCATGCGTGTCTTTGTCTTGAAACGTTTGAGTTCTCAATGGGTGTCTATGCACGCAAACTGAAGCCCCAAGAACAATGAGTACTAGCTCGAGGGTCATCCTGAGCTCAATGGCTGAATGTACTGGTGCCACAGCCAAGGTCCAATATGCCACACCCACCTCCACCAGCGAGAGAAAATCTATATACAAAGCATCAGAAGGCCGTCTTGAGGGCTTTTTAGGCTTGAACTGCTGCGCTGCCCGTGGGGTGTGCAGAAACTGTTTTATGCTTGACTTGAGCTATATCGATATCTGTTGATTCACCTAGCGGTAACGCATCCCTCTTCCTTGGTACCAAGGTCTCACGTGCAAAGCTCCAAATCAATACATATGCAAGCACACGCGCGCAGCTGTTTCAAAGTGGTACCTTGCCTTCTGCCACTCCACACCGGAGCACAGGTTGCAGCAATGGCCTAATATGCAGGTTTGACGGAATCCCGCCGAAATCAGCTTGAAAAGTCCTCAGAACCTGTCATATTCCCAAGCAGTTTGTTTGAGGCTATGCGGCTATGCTCCTTGATTGAAGATATTTAGAAGCCTATGGCCTATCGCCTATGACTTACCAAGGCTTCTGGGACCTCCAAAGAATGAGACAATGTATGGCCTCAGAAGGCTGCAGACATCATTGTACGTCAAGTGCCATTCAGCGCCTGCCAGGTTTTCAAGTCCAGCAAGCAAGGGAGGAATGCTCTCCGATCCCTCTTCTCCGCGTCTCCACTTTGAGTGCCACTTTTCCGCTCAGAGAGTCATGGCACAATGGCTCACACATTGTAAGTTCCCCCTGTCATCCTTCAAAGGTGGAATTGTTGCAACTGCACATTTCCGATACGGCTTTTGCCTATCATAAAGCTACACAAACGAGCCTAAATCCTTTCCTAAACTCAGGTCGCAAGCTGAAACTAGCGACCTCGCCAAGTAGCCGCACGTTGCAAGCAAAACGAATTGACTCAACTCTGAGTTTCTGGCAATACAGCGATTTGACCTGGATCCAAAACATTCGGGCGGAACAGTTCAACAGCCTGTCAAAGCTCTCGCTTGTGCCTTCACCGGTCGTGGCTCCAACGAAGCTGCATATCGCGATGGGATTCTTGGATAAACAAGAAGTCCCATCATCACCTGAAGTTTGCAGCTAGAAGGGCGCATCTGCACTAGTCTCTCTCTCTCTCTCTCTTGTGAGTGCCCCAAGTCACCAACAGCCGGGGTGGCAAGAGAATACCAAATGAGGCTGTGCGAAGTACCCACCACTGCCTTGCTGCCAGCACACTTGGGTGCATGTTCTCAGGTATTGGGACTTCTGATGGAATCACGCGAGAGCGACCAAGGGTGGGGCCACATACGGGAAAGCCCCAAATCCAAGACTGAGGATACAGTACCTAGCTACAGGACAAGTTCAAAAGTATGTAAACAAGTACCTAGTTACAATACCTAGCTACAGGGTGCTTCCAGTGCGTTTTGTGGTCTTGTCTACTGTACTAAGTTCCATGCGGATCTCCCGGGTGCAGCATCCAATGCATGCTCGCAACGAAGCCAGCTGAGGTCAAGAGACCCGCCAGCAATCGAAGCAGTGACGGACTCGTCGGCCTTGCAGTGGAGCATCCCGTCATCCCGGCATCATTGGACTCACAGTATGTATATACTACATAATCTATTTAAATGCACGTATATACGACTTTAGATTTAGATGTAGGAGCGACTGTGTTGGACCACATTCACCGCAAATAGTTTCAGCTAGGGGGGGCCTCTACTTCATTTTGGGATTGAAAAATCATGACTGGGTTGGCCTTTGGGCCTTGCCGAAAAATGTTTTCTCATTTGGCCATTTGGGGGTTTGGTGCACATAAACTTGGTCTTATAACCAGACAGAAGTTAAGCACACCTTTTTTCTCAACAACGCGAAAGGTCAGCGGTCAGCAGAAGCACCTGGCCAACAAAGGTTTAAAGCAAAGAAGTAAAGCAAAGCAAGAAACAAAGCAAAGGAAGAAAGTGGAAGGCGGCAACAGCACCCTTTTGGACAGTCAAACGGCGGTGACGTTTGGGGCCCATATGGGACCTTCCCAACTGTGAGGCTGAGGCTCTTGTGAAAATGGACTTGATGTGGTTAGGCCTTGGCCGCATGCCAGCCGCCTTTGGCTGGTCAGGCTGGTCAGACAAAGTTGAGCCTGAGCCATTGGTGGCCTTTGAAACTTTGCTAAACACGGCGCCATCCCTGTTGTCAATCCTTCGCACTTTCCGAAGAAAACCGCAAACATCACTTAAGCCATTGATGTGCCAGTAGTCAGGCTTGGACAGGTCAGGCTTGGAATGGTCTTCATCCTCCGCTGTCCACTTGCCAGACTTGTCAGCCCGGGCCAACTTATGAAAGCTGGCTGCCAAATCTGGATAGACAGTCCTGAACCTCTTTGTCAACATGAGCCTGGCTATCGTCAAGCCTAGCGACTTCTGAAACATCATGACATCAGGGAAATGTGGCCGTCTAAGATCGAGTTCCCTCCACTTGTTGGACTGAACCACTGCACAGCCAAGCGCAACCACGAGCAACGCTAACTGGACAGTGCCTCTCTTTGGAGGCGCATCAGACGCAAACAGAACGTCAGACCTCATGTTCTTGACCACGACATAGTCAACCCTGTTGTCAAACACAGCGTCATTGCAGCCCCAGGCCATCACAACAACAGACCCCTTTGGCTTGTCTTGCGACACATCAGACAAGGGGACATCGGCCACATTGACAACCACATTCCACTGTCTCTGGGCTTCCAAACACACCTGACCAGGCTTGAAAACGCCCCCAGCCCTCATGTTAGTCAGTGAATGCGTGCGGAACGCCGACCTGTTGACAGTCCACTGGTTTTTGGTGTAACTTCTGAACTTCTGCAGGCCATCATTCTTGTCAGGCTGGTGTTGTCGACGTAGTCGCGGAAAGAGGTCACCAAGCTTCTTGCCTGCCACTGTGTTTGCCTGGTCGGACCGGTCAGACCGGTCAAGCATGCGTTTGATGGACTGTCTTCGGGCATTGACGACAGACACTTCACTTCCAGGCTTCTCGGGCCTCTTCACGCCAGCGTCAGACCTCTGCTTGTATAAAGCAAACCGTCTTCCATGGTGCCTGAGCCAAAGACCTGCCCAATCCCTTGAAAGGTCAGTCAAGCCATGAGCTGCTTGAGTGAGGCCACTCTTCTCATCAGCTTTGTTCCTGATGCAAATTTCATCCACCTTCTGTGGGCCACCCAACACAACCAATAGCATCTCGTCCATGGTCAAGCCAGAGTCCAACATTGGCCCACAGTGCTTCTCCAACAAGGACTTGGTCAAGCTCAGGCTTTGTTCAACTGCAACCGTAGTTTGCTCTATGGAACAATACCACGCTATCAAGGGTGTGACAAACCTCAGCTCACGCAAGTTGCCAAGTTTGGTGCCCCACCAAGTCTTGTTGTCAATCTCGTCAGTCTCAGTCGTTGTCCTGCAGGGGTTCATATGTGACTGTGGAAAGCATTGGCTCTCAAAATGACTGTCTTTGGTGAGCCTGAACTAAACATCAAATCAGTGTGACCCTAGCCCAAGATTCAACTAACTGAAGCGGTTGACAGGACCGGTCCCTCCTCTTGGCATAGACAAGCCTCAGGGCACATGCGCTGAACTCTTCTCCCAGCTTAGCCTCGTCGCCAGGGTTGGACAAGATGCGAGTCCCCTGAAATGACCTGGCCAAAGCAATGGCACGGCATCTTAGGTCAGTGTCAATCTTGGCTGCTGCATTCATGTCAGACCGCTGCAAGCCCACCATCTTCTCCCACCGCTTCAAATCAAAACATGCAAAGTTGAGGTGAGTGCCTCTGTCCGGAAACTCTGCAGTAAGTCTATCCTAAGTTGACCAAATTCAGTACTTCAGTTGAGTGAACAATGTATAAATATAGTTATTTAAAGTTTAACTTACACCAACTGACTACAAAGTCTAGGACACTGCGGAGGCTCCAAACTTGCCTCAGCAATACTCCTCATGGATGTCATAGCTCTCTTGATGTCATCCGCCCCTGTTGGGCTCCAGAGAGTGAACAATCTGCTGCCAACAATGAGTGGTGGCGTTTCTTTGGCAACCTTTATGGCCATAGCGGTGTATGACCTGAAGTCTCAGCACAATCAAAATGACCAGT